GCGCAGGCTCTGGCTGATGCTAAACTCAGGCCCGGCAAGGAATCAACCGAGCACCCTCCCCCATCGCCACGTTCGCCGCACGTGTGCTCGCCCCTGGCTCCTCCCTCATTGCTCTCATTCTTTCTCTTCTCGCTCTACCTCGCTATTGCTCATATCTCTTCCCTTCCGCGGCTCTCTGCCTCTCCCTGCTCTCTCTCGCTCGCGACACACTGGCGGGTCGCTCTCTCCTCGTCCCTCGCGCTCGATCCCACAACTCCTCTCTCTCTCCTGCTCTCTCTCGTCTCTCTTCCTCCTCATCTTCCTCTCTCTCTCTATCTCTCTCTCTCTCTCATCTCCATCTCTCTCTCTCTCTCTCCTCTCTCTCTCTCTCTCTCTCTCTCTCTCTCTCTCTCTCTCTCTTCTCTCTCTCTCTACTGCTCTCTCTCTCTTCTTCTCTCTCTCTCTCTCTCTCTCTCTTGCTCGCTTCTCTTCCTTCCACGCTCTCTCTCTCCCCTCTCACTCCGCCGCCCTCACTCATTCATCGCTCCCTCGTTGTCTCTCCTCTCTTTGCTTTGTCCTTGTCTTGGTTCTCTCTCCTTTCTCTCTCCCCTCCTCCTCATCGTCTCTCTCCTCTCTCTGCTCTCTCCATCTCTCTCTCCCTCCTCTCTCTCTTCTCCTCTTCTCTCTCTCTCTGTTCTCTCTCACTCTTTTTTGTGTCTCCCCCCTCAGCCGCACCCGCCTCTCTGCATCTTTTCTCTCTCTCTTCCTCTCCCTCCCTCTCTCGGCTCCCCCTCTCTCATATCACTCTCTCTCTCTTCCCTCTCTCTCTCTCTTCATCTCTCTTTCTCTCTTCTCTCCTCGCTCTCTCTCCTCATCGCCCGCTCTCTCTCTCTCTCTCGCTCTCTCTGCTCTCTCTCCTTTCTCTTTCTGATCTCTCTCTCTCTCCCCTCTCTCTCTCTCTCTCTCTTTCTCTCTCTCTCTTCTTCTCTTCTCTCTCTCTCTCTCCTCTCTCTCTCGTCTTTCTCTCTCACTCGTTCCGCGCGCTCTCTCTCTTTCTCATCTTCTTCTTCTCTACTCTCTCAGCCTCTCTCTATCACTCTCTCCTCCTCTTCCCCTCTCTCTCGTCTCTCCTCTCTCTCTCTCTCTCTCTCTCTCGTCTCTCTCTCTCCTCTCTCTCCTTCTCTCTCCATCTCTTCGTCTCTCTCGCCCGGTGCACGGCCGCTCTCCCTCTCTCACTCTCTTCCCACCCCGTCGCTCTCTCTCCTCTTCCTCTCTCTCCGCCGCCACTCTCTCTCTCCTCTCCTTCTCGCTCTCTCTCTCTCTCTCTCTCTTCACCTCTCTCGTCGCCCGCTCTCCTCTCTCATCACTCTCTTCCCTCGCGTCTCTTCTCTCTCCCTCTCTCTCCAATTTCTCTCGTTTCTCGCAGGCACGGGTACGCGCCTGCCCGGAGAGCTGCTTACGAACTGATTGTCCGGTATACAGAGTCTTTGATTGCTCTATCAGACTGATTGTCTGCATGGTCTTCTAACCCTAGCAAGACCATTTCGTGAAGCTAGCAAGGCCACCGGGTAACGCTTTTTATTATAATTCACATAATGTTTATACTATAGTATATGTTAATACGAAACAAGCCGCGATAGCCCTTATTTCAAACACTGGGATGGCTATCAGGAGCTTCTCGAAAAATGTTCGTTGGTATCGTTATTGCAAATTTGCCACGAGATGCCGCCGCGTACTGTCTGGTAGCTGGCGCTTACCATCGTTAACGTAGCTATCAGTAACACTATTTGCAAGACCGCAATAGGTAAGCCACTCGTCCATTTCCCCTACACAAGCCCCTACAGGCCTGAAATAGAGAGCTGCACCTTGTACCCTAATTAACGCAGCGCCCAAAAACTACACCATACTGATCACCACCACACTGCACTGGCAGTTGGCCCACTGGCCAAAGCTGGATAATTCACACAACTGACTAGCTCACAGCAATGCCCACTCAGAAATTCATACGATTTAAGGAGCATTAAACCTTCTTCAAGCCAATTTACAGCTTTTGAAATTTCACATGTGACATTGTAGCCTCATACATCCAGGCATGCATAGATTCTCCCACATCCCTAGCCAAACCCAGCAGTCAAATATCTTTCTACCACGTAACAGTTAACAAATCCATGTTTAATCCTCCCTCTTGAGGTGTCACCCCGCGCCTTCATCCGACCTCTCCTCCCTCTTCGCACGTCCCAGTGGAAAGCACATCTTCACTGGTCCCCTTTTTCAATACAAGCCATTAAACATGTTAGGTCACCGCTGAAACAGAAAAGTATTCCAATCGTCCCCTCCGCGCTCACCACGCCTGCTCCTCCAGAAAACTGGTCAAAATCTGCCCCCCTGCCCTAATTGACCTTTGACCCTGTGCACTCCAATTTCGGCACAGGCGGCTGTTTCCTACCATGATGCTATACACCCGACCCTGACTATCACGAGCCTACCGGTCCGAGCCGTTTAGATTTGTGCGCAATTCTGCCCTTCCTCCCTATACCTTAAGTTAAGGACCAGGCCGCCGCCACGATGTTCCCCCCCTGTTTCATCCACCCCACCCCCCTACACCACTCAGACCGTTTGACCTTTGACCCCCAGCTTCGACCATCCACACTCGTTTTCCCGACACGCTTCACCCCCACGTCACCCACCCCACCCCGCACCCTTCGACATCACAGGACTCACGTCCGAGCGCTTTAGCCACTCTCTTCGGCCCACCACTGTGCCCCGCGGGCAACGCACACCCGGCGCCGGAGGACGGGGCACGGGACGGACGGACGGACGATCATGCGATTCTACAAGCTGCATCTGACTATGTCAGATGAGCTAAAAAGGGGGGGAGGATGCCTACTACACACAAAGCCCTAACACCATTCATCTATCACTAGGTTCAAACGTCCGAGTCAAAATTATAGGCACTGCACGTATAAAACGAAGAAAGACTACGCGCCATCACCGTGAGTTTGCCCTCTCTCTCGCGAGACAATTAAGTACGAGCCACGACATGCCCCGACGCTCCTCGACGTCCGGCCGACGCGAGAGGCTATAGCTAGTCGAACAGCTCCGAGTTTTTCAGCATCGAAGCGGCAGCGTCGTCCAGGAACCAGAAGACTTTTCCGTCGGTCGGATTCACTCGAGCAGCGGGAAGCAATGGCTCGTGCTGCTCTGCTAGAATCGTCTGCAAGGTGAGAGAGAGTGTGCTGCTGTCAGTACGTGACTCAATGCAAAAACTTGGCTCCAAAACTAGTATAATCCTGGGAAACACGTTTTCCGATGTAGTGCAGTAGTGTGAAATGCGTCTACGTGGCTAATTCTTATTTACTGCTTCGATTTCATCTGACGAGGTGCGTTATCATCACTTGGCAATTGGAAACTGCTAAAGCTATTTCTTAGCAAGTCAGGTCACCGACAAACGAATGTAAAAGGTCTGTGAAGCCATTTTAGCGACGAAAGGAGCGATCAGGGTTAAATACCTTGAGGATAGCAGCTTTGCCCGCTCCACAGCTGACAAATGCACAGCAGCGAGCATTGTTGATGAGAGGGTAGGTCATGGTAACACGACACGGCGGGGGTTTGGGGGAGTCGCTGATCGGTGCTATGAGGACATCTTTCTCCTGGTAATAAACAAATTCTGTAGAATAAACTCGAAAATTCAAAATGCAATGTGTCTCGATCAATCACTTTCAACTGGTGGACATGTGTAAGGTGCGTGTATATTTTGGAGGTAATCTTTGCATGCCCTATAGACTGTGATATGCCAAAAAAATTTACAGGCACATGTATGAAATCGCAGATGGTTTGAGAGACTGTACTTTATTCCCAAGAGTAAATCAATTCATGGGTGTGACTTCGCTATTTCATCTATGAGTACTCACCTCTAACAGAGGATGTGAAGGGAATAGGGAGCAAGTATGTCCATCTGGACCAATCCCCAGTAGAAGCAGATCAAACCGGGGAAGATCGTCACCAGGAAAGACCTTACGCAAACAAGCCGTGTAGTCCTTCGCACATTCTTCCACTGGAAAAGAAAACGGTGTTCACCTAATATAGACAGATTAAACATTTAAGTGGGACACAAGATATGCATCTTACTTATATGCCTCATTGACATGGTCACACAGATTGGACACCAGTACAGCTACTTGATGCCGTTTCATCTAAGTGTGCTAAATTTGTGATACTGTCCGAATTACATATCAAGGTGCTACTCAATGCCATTTTGCTCGATGCCAACTTTGTGATACGTTCTGAATTATAATTTGATATCAAGGTAGATGGTAGTTTGGTGATGTCTGGCCACACCAATCTATTCACTTGTGAAATTTATATCAGTGACTGTTACTGTAGGTTTACTGCATACTTTCAGTGGGCAGGTTTACCTTCTTTACTTAATTTACCCAGACATTAATAAATGCTTACGGTCCTATATATAATTAAGCTAATGAAGTACTAGGATGACTGTTAAACTCATCATTTCTAAGTTTTCTGATCAATACCTGATAGATTAGGATTGATTGGAAAGATGTTCTCTGTATGGATTGGTGCTTTCCCAATCAGATTGTCCCTGTAATACTTGTACGTGCTGTCGTTGTCTTCGAACGACACCAGCCTCTCGTCGCAGAAAAATATTCTCCATTTCGACCAATCAGTCGAGATGCGAGGGAGATGCTCACACAAGTACTTTTGCAAACTCCCACCTATATAGATAGCAAAAGAAGAGTTGCTCTGCAAGTTACCCCTACAAAGTTGCCGACGACTATCTTAGAATACCTTAGAGCATCCACCCCAACGTGCCCAATACTGGTCATTCCAATTCAAGACATGCTCAGCAGTTAATGCCCTACTACACGTCTGCAGCTTTTTCTCAAGCTCAACCACTGAGGAATAGCTGCCGCGCGGCACTGATAATTTGATATCACACAATTGTGTGAACGTTCCACACAGACTGTGGAAGGTGGAACTTGAACTTGAAGGCTTCAGGAGAAAACAACAAATGCTGAAATAACACACATTTTATTGCACATCATCATCTTAAACTTTAATTGCTTTATTGAAACAAAGACCATAGTTACATAGTAACTAGTAATAATACTAATAGTAGTAATACAATTACTTTAATACTAACTTAGTTGAGAACTCATCATGACAATGTTAACTTTTACTGTTTTAATTTTAGTTTTAGTCTTTTCATTGACAAAGTTAATTAAGTTAACAAATTATTCCAATGCGTGTCAGTTTAATGTGATATAAATTAGAATACCAGAAAAGCCCACTGTAAAATCAGTTCCTCTCGCCAATGCTTCATTCGCTTTCATTTCAACAAAGCTGCAGATTTCTTTTGCAACTTGCAGCTCTGTTTTGAAAACATTTATAGACGCCATTTCTCCAATTTGGCTCACGAGTACTCGTGAGAATAGTAAAACACATGAGCATCTGAGAACGGTAATCATGGCTGATCCTCTCAGTTTGTTACGGCAGTACAATGTCAACAAAAAAGAACCAGTTGAAAGAGACGGTCAAGTGATCTTTGGAGAATTTTCGTGGCCAAAGAATGTGAAAACCAACTATTTGGCGTGGGGGTAAGAATCAATACCTTGTTTTACTTGATCTCGATAATAATCGACTTTGGATTCACAAGTCGCATCCTCCATCAGTTCAGTTAGTCCGCAAATGCAGACGTTATAACTCCGCTTTGCTAATCTGAGGGTGCGGGTTTATCGTCTGCAGTCACCCTTGTAAAAATTGTTGCAATTTTTGTGTGGACATTGGATAGGTGAATCGAGTAGCCCCAGTGAGGGCGTGACGGGGGTATATCCAACCCAAAATATCAAGTACAGACCTTCTGTTTGTCAATATCGCTTTCCGAAAACTTTATCTCCATTTCAGAACTTTGTTTTCATGCAATAATTCATCCTAGTCAGAGTAACTTCGATATTTTTGGCCATATTGGACAGATTTTTCGATCGACCAATGAAATTCACTCCCGGTAGCCTCGGGTTCACTCGGAAATAATAATTCGAAATAATAATAGATGGCGCGGACTACCTACCATGTTTCCTGTTGAACATCGGGAAAGCCGAAGTAACCGGAAGTGATTTTCATTGGTTGACAAATGTGAATGAAGACCGAACATTTTCTTTGGATCTGTTTATATTTACCATTACATTAGGTTAACAACTTGATATATTCTTATGTTGTGGCCGCTACCAGGACATCATAGCGTGCATGCACGTAGATAAATGATTCAAGTTCAGATTAAAGCAAGTTTCACGCAATAGGATTGTATACATATCGGGCGCATATATTACTTATAAGTGCCACCTCCAAACTGGAGGTGGCTTTTCGTGATTGAGATAAACACGGCCGCAGACCCCATTACGGGGGTCTGCGTCGGCTCGGACTACAGTTCAGTCCGACATCGATGATCGAGTCATTTACTACACAGTCACAGACACAGGCACTTGGAGCTTTTCAATAAAATATAATGCTAAATAAATACGAAATCTATTTACTACCAAAGTCTTAATGTTTCTATACCTTCTTTCACCTATTATTGCCGACAATTTCCTGTAAATGCCGTCCAAATGCTCATCTAATGATCTACAATAAACACGTGCTCCATTGCTCCATGGCTCCATTGCATGCACTGATGCAGATTGCATGCACATTGGCAATAAATTGATTAAAGGCTCACAATGCGCATCCAAACGCTAATTTCTCCAGTACTAGACTAGCAAATACTTCGTGTCATGCATAATCACACTACCTTATGACAAAATAAACTCTAGTTGCTCCCATTTCACTGCGCGTTTGCTTAAAACCCACAAGAAAGAGGTGAGAAAACTGGCATTCTGGCGCAAACGCCGAATGTTTGCCAAACAAAATAGCCTCGAAGTGGTGACGTGACGTCACATGTTTTTATCTTTGCTGCGCCCGTACCGCTGTACCGCAGCACCGCTGCACGGTTGCTTGGGGATTGGGGAAACTGTCACCAACATCGGAGAATTTCAACAACATTGGAGGTATTTTCAAAATACCTTTTATAAGACAACGCGCAGTGAAATGGGAGGAACTAGAGTTTATTTTGCCATAAGGTAGTATGATTATGCATGACACGAAGTATTTGCTAGTCTAGTACTGGAGAAATTAGCGTTTGGATGCGCATTGTGAGCCTTTAATTGCTGCCGCTGCACACTGACACATAAATATATAGCAGGTAGGAAAGCGTGCTGCCAAAATTTGCTCGACGCTTGCTTGATTTCACACGAATACAACACATATCAATGACAATGTATATAAAAACACATACATACACACATGTATATTCAACCATTCTACTCCATTTTTGTTTCTATTTCAAGAACAGTGTTGACTTGTTATAAAAACATACTGTCTGTGTTCGTAACCGAGCTGTGTCACGCGAAATCACACAAAGCCTGACGAAATTCTCGCGTTCTCTCCCGTTGCGCAGTTTATGTAAATGGCTGCAAGTACAGGGCTATAGGCGCACTGCATTTTGGGAAACTACCACGCTGCTTTCCAACTCCCGTACGAGCCCTGTCAAAGCCACCAGTGGAGCATTGCAAAAACGTTGGAGCGTTGCAGCACAAAAATGAGGTCACGAAGAGCGCCTGTGGGTGTTTCCTGATTCCGACAGCCATTTACATAAACTGCGCAACGGGAGAGAACGCAAGAATTTCGTCAGGCTTTGTGTGATTTCGCGTGACACAGCTCGGTTACAAACACAGACAGTATGTTTTTATAACAAGTGAACACTGTTCTTGAAATAGAAACAAAGATGGAGTAGAATGGTTGAATATTTGTGTTGTATTTGTGTGAAATCAAGCGAGCGTTGAGCGAATTTTGGCAGCACGCTTTCCTACCTGCTATATATTTATGTGTCACTGTGCAGCGGCAGCCGGTGTTTGTTGTAGATGAGCATTTGGACGGCATTTACAGGAAATTGTCGGCAATAATAGGTAAAAGAGTATAGAAACATTGTCATTAAGGCTTTGGTAGTAAATAGATTTCGTATATTTAGCATTATATTTTATTGAAATGCTCCAAGTGCCTGTGATTCACTACGTAGTACGTGGTACAGTATTGTACATGGTACATGTTATGATACTATCAGGAGTAGATAATAGGGAAGGAGTGTGACATCAATAAACATGGGAAATTCGTCATTTACTAGCCTTAAAATACCTATGATTTACTACGCGTAACTCATCCAACTTGAGGTCAAATCGTACACAGTACATTCGCCTAGCATCATGCGAAATCGTTTCCTCGTGACGTATACACAAGCAATCCGGAGATACAGACTAAAATGTATGACACGATTATCCATTCTTTGGCCATCAATCCGAGCCGATTGCCCGCCTATATTCAAACAAAAGGCAGCTACTAACGCGCTATTGCTAACTCGGCGAGGCATGTGGCTCGCTGGGAGATTAGGCATCAACGCAACACTCGGCGAGATAACCTTTGACCCGGTACACAGCTACATACCGGCATACCGGCATACAGCTGGCATGCCCCCATGCACGCACACCAACCGCAATCAGCAGCAGATCGGGCTCAAATCTCCCAGCGAGCCAGATTGCCCGCCGAGTTAGCAATAGTGCGTTAGTAGCTGCCTTTTGTTTGAATATAGGCGGGAAATCGGTTGTAAAGTTGGATGAGTTACGCGTAGTAAATCGTAGGTATTATAAGGCTAGTAAATGACGAATTTCCCTTGTTTATTGATGTGACACTCCTTCCCTGTTATCTACTCCTGATACTATGATATACTGGGGGAATACGTCTAAGCGTATGTTAGCATTAGCTATAATATTTTTACCAACTATGACATGATAACGATTTGTTTGGTACTTCAACTGGGTTGGTTCACTTCCCGGTTAATTGGAACTGGTCTTTTTCAGTTTTTGGAATAACTCACTAGGCATACACTAGACTTCCTTCCTTTGCACTGTGCCACTGTCTGTTTTAGAAGATCTGGACACCTCTCTCTCATGGCATTTAATCAGAGCAATAATTTCATACGTTGTCCTAAATAAAGCCTATATACTAGAAATATCACAAACGTAAAGTTGAGATTTAAAAAAGTTACTAAAGTGATAAGTAATGGAATGTGTCCTTGTAAGTTCATTTGTCGAGGATTTGTTCTTATCACTTATGTATCAGATTCAATCAATCGGATCAAATAATTTCAAATCGGATTCAATTCATGTTGACATTGTGTATTTGTGTTTGTCAGTGATAGCAGCCGGACGTGTTTAACTGTAAGTAAGATCATGCGTCGTGTATCTTCACAGATCGGGTAGAGATGGCACAGCCAAGGAATACTACACATTGGACTGTGTGCTCTTTCTGCTTAAGAATGTCAGCCTTTCACATCCGATGTATGTCCGGCGTGCCGCGGTGAGTATAGGGGTTTGATAACAGGTATTATTATAACATATGCATGTACATATTTATATTTGACCATGTCAATGGGTCTATAGCAGTCTCGAAATTTTCAGTGGTATAATTCCAAATGATATGGTGGACATCTTTATTAAAAATTATCGTAACACCCCAGATTACCTCAACTCAGTTTACTTAAAGGGACAGTAGCCTCTAGGATTTTACTGCATACAACTGTACTTACTGTATAACAAATCATGTATACCCACACGTATTTGTTACCAGATACCTAATTTAATTGTTATAATTAATTACACATCAACGCTACGAAATTTGAACGGCGCCATGACACCCGCGACCGTGCTGCCACCCCGGAAAAATTGCGTATTTGACAATTTATTATGCACGTTACAGACTGAGGGCTAATCACAAAAGTGCAATTATATTTATACCTAAATGCTATTTAACCGAACGATATTCATTTTAGGGCAAATTTATCCATAAATTATAACTGAAACTATATGTCGTTTATAAGATATTACAATCTTTTTGCTTTTAAATGAATAAATAAGAAACACGTACCTCAGTCTGTAGCTCTTGGCTGGAAAGTGGTTTTGCGCAACTTATTAGATCGTGCGCTTTGAGTGGTGCCACCGTCGTTGTAATCAAACTGTAGTCGTTAGTTTTAAAACATAAAAAAAAAATATTTCTAACGGTGATAGAACCATGAATCTTTTTATGTAGTGTAATTATAACCTAAATTAGCTGAAAATAACCCTAGAACCTAGAGTAAACTCTCCCTTTAAACATGTCAACCCCTTCGGATGCCCACTTGTATAACCTTCTGGAAAAATCCATAAAATCTATAAGAAATCCTTAGGATCTACAAATCACAACAAAATGAGTTTAATATTAACACTTTATTAACCGAGAGTCATCTCTGCAGTCCAGGGGTCGAAATTAGCGGTATCCC